TGCCACCTTTCTTGCTGTTGCTCCTGGAGACTCCGACCAAGAGAAGGGAAGTATGATGTCGAGGGAGCTGGAGGCCAGTTGCCACGAAGGGAACACCCTGGCCCAGGATTACTACATCTTGGGAACGTTAGATAGAGGGTCTTTTGCAGAAGTCAAAGTGGCTCTCCACCTTAGGACCCAGACAATGGTTGCCATCAAGGTATTGAAGAAGGGCACATGGATGGATTTCTTAATTGTTTCTGAGATGGAATTAATGAGAACGCTTCACCACAGTAACATAGTAAAGTTGCTTCAGATTCTTGACACCAACCACAAAACCTACCTTGTGATGGAATACGCAGCCCGCGGATCCCTGTGGCAACACATCAACAACTGTGGGCGTCTACAGGAGGAAGAGGCACGTACCATGTTCACAGAACTGTCTTTGGCCATCAACTATATCCATGATCGGAATATTGTCCACCGAGACATCAAAGCCGAGAACGTCCTATTGGATTGGGAGGGGCATGTGAAACTAAGTGACTTTGGGTTAAGCAAAAGACTGGCCTCAGGGGAAAAGTTTCAGGGGTTGTGCGGTACACCACAATATTGTGCTCCTGAAGTATTCCATCATACACCCTACGACGGACTTCCAACAGATATTTGGAGCACCGGTGTGCTCTTGTACTTTTTAGTTGTTGGCCACCTTCCTTTTGAAGAGATAGAACACTCCAAGATAAAGGACATGATCCTATCCCAGAACTACTGGATCCCATATTGTCTCTCCCCAGACCTTCGAGACCTACTGAATGCATTAATGACAATAGACCCTACAAGAAGGCCATCCATCAAAGAAATATTAGCACACCCATGGCTGTGCCATGAGCAAGACACATTGACATCCTCAGAAAAAATTCCTCAAGTACCAGAGCCCAATACTGCTTTTGAAATGTTTTTAATGGAGCATAAAATTAAAGAGCTTAGATATGCATTGAAAGAACGGAAGTATAGTCGTGCCATGGAAAACTACCTTGCAATCAAAAGAAAGTGTACCTGGTGGCCCCAATTTTGTCACGATGAAGGGCAGGGTGATACACTGGACCCTACAAAAGCTCCCAACCTTCCTTGTTCTTTAAGGAGGGGAACCAGTACAGCTACCCTTCCCACCTTAACTTTACCCAGTCACTCTGAGCTGCCTGTAGATGGGAGGAAAGGCTGTAAGAGGAGGCACAGTGTGCCTCTCACCCTTTCTTCCCTTAAGAGTAGCTTCCTGGAAAAGACCTCCCCACGGCAGGGGCTTGTGCCTCATATTGAAAAGGGGACATTCAGAGAAAAGGAGGGCAGAATCAATCCTACAACTTCACCCTCAAGAAAAACAAAGGCAACAAAAAGATCAACAATAACAACAGCTTCAAAAACCTCAGGCACACTGTTCACGCTCTACCAAACCTCAACCTTTGAAAACATGCAAGATGGGACCAACGAGAACTCTGAGTGTAGACACGAATATAGCAGCATGCACTTCTGGGAGTCCACATGCAGCAGCCCCCTTTCCAGTAAGAAAATACAAGAAGAGAATACAGTTACCGAATCCTTCCAACGCACTGGCTCATCCGCCTGGGGGTCTAGAACCAGCAGCCCTTACTCCAGTAAGAAAATTCAGGAACAAAATACAGCCACCGAATCCTTCCAAGACACCAAGTCACCCTCCAGGGAAACAGACCATCATGGGCCTCTTCGAAGGCAGAGCCAGCCTGTGCCCAGAGTCCCACTGAGAAGGTGGGGATGGAAGGGCCTGAAGAACAGAGTTTCGAAAGCTTTAAGAAGCTTGTGTTGCTGCTGCCTCCCAGCGACCAATAACAAAATCGTGGCTGTCAATGAAGACTGCTTCAGAGACACAGGCTGAAAGAAGTAGGTGGGGTGTGATGGGAAAGGATACACTCTCTAGTTTCTTTTTCCCTTAATATATTCCAGTATGCACATTGAGGGGGTTAGTGACATTGTGTCTATCATGGCAGAAAGAAAATCCCATCCTGCCCTCCCTCCTCTGAGGAGCCCTCCAATGCTTGAGCTACATAGAGACAGCAGAGGACAGTGACCCAGCAGCACTGGGCAAGGATGCTGGAGAAGGTGGGTGAAGGGATCAATGGAGCACTCGGGAGGAATCAGCCTAAGGGCCCATGTCTGCACAGGGCCAGCACAGCCAAGCATAAGTCCTGCAGATTTCTAGTAACAGTTCTTGTGTCTACTTCAACTGCTGTCAGAGTCCCTGTGGTCCCCGGAGGGTGACACCAGAATGTGGAGAGGAGCCAGCTGAGGATGCAGACAGGAGCATGGACGAGAGAGCCAGGTAGGAATTTCAGGTGCTGTGTGCCAGTGGGAAGACTGGTCCATACTGCAGGCTAAAACTAGAGGCAAAATGCTTTTCCCTGAAATCTGAAGCAAGATTCTGGGAATAAGGTCTGAGCAGTGTTCTTTCTGCCTATTCCCTGTAGGGAGTTCCACACAGGGCAGCAGTCCCAGAACAGCTGTGGCCCTGAGCATTAATCTTCACAGCACCCAGAAGCCCCTGGAAGAAGCATCCATGGAGTGCTGGTGATGACCAAAAGAACTGAGAAGAACCATCAGA